TTAGCATACAGCATTTTTATTTGTATATGTTGTGGAATCATTACCACAATAAATTTAGTTATCACTCATCACCACAGATTAGTTTTAATTTGTTTTCCTCACAACAGGAGTCCTTTAAATTTTACTCTTATAACAACTTTCAAATATGCAAACAATATTATTAACTATAGCCAACATGCTGTACACTACATTCCCTAGACTTATTTTATACCTGGAAGTTTGTACCTCTGACCACACCCATTTCATCCAGCCCATACTCCTGCCTCTGGCAATCACCAATATTTGTTCTCATCTGTGAGTTGCTTTTTTTTTCATTTTTGTCTTCCTCTCTATGACATAACATAAAGCCCTCAAGGTCTTCCCTGTTGTTACAAATGCCAAAATTTCATTCCTTTTAATAACTGGGTAATATATCATTTTTTTTATCTACACCATATATTCTATATCCATTCATCCAATTCAAAGACATTTAGATTGCCTTCATGTAAATGTAAATAATTGCCTTCATGTAAATAATGCTGCAAATGAAAGTGAAGATGGTCACATCTTTTCCCGGGGATGTTTTCATTTCCTTTAGTTAATTACCCTAAAGTGGAACTGCTGGATGTCTTGTAGCACTATTTTTAATTTTGAGGAAATTTTTTCTATGGTGGAAATTTATCTTATCACAAATATTGCACCAGGGTTCCCTTTGACACACATCCCCACCAACACTTATTATTTCTAGTTTTCTTGAAAATAAGCATTCTAACATGCGAATTATATTTCATTGTGGCTTTGATTAGCATTTCCTGATGACTAGTGATGTTGAGCATCTTTCATGTACCTGTTATTTGTATATCTTTGGAAAAAATGTCTATTCAGATATTCTGTCCAATTTAAATTGATTTTTTTTTGATATTCAGTTATTTAAATTTTCCTGTTTCTTAATGTAGTTGTTTATTGCTCCATACATCTTGTTAAAGTTGTTTTTGCTCTATGTTGTAATGCCATTTTCATTTGCTTCAAGATACTTTTTTTTTTTTTAAGATTTATTTATTTGTACAGAACTGGGGTACAGGCCAGAGATGCGGAGGGTGAGAGGATTCACCAGAGACTGAGTGGGGTGCAGAACAGGCAGATCAACAAAGTACACTGCTGAGGGGAGCAGCAGGGGGGGTCAGGAGAGGTCTGCTGCGCCATGTGGATCTCCTCCGGGGCAGGCTGGGATCGAACTCATGCAGAAGTGGCTTAAGCTTCTTTGTGCTGTGCTTTAACCCGCTGCGCCACTTGGGAGGGCCTGTGCTCAAGATACTTTTAACTTTCACTTAGTTTTCTTCTTGCATTCATTGTTCAAAAGAGTTTGGTTTAATTTCCATGTATTCTTGAGTTTTCCTCCATTATAGATTCTAGTTTTATATTTGCAGTGCAAGAAAGGCACAAAGCAGGTTTTCTATGATCTGGGCACTCTAATGCAGGAGGAGTCCTGGAACGCTCAAAGGCTGTTTTTCAGGCTTTTAATGATCTTTTCTACACCATTTGTAGTAAGATAACAAGGTACAGGGCAGGCAGATAGGGGGAGTGGGGACCTGAAGGCTGACAGCCTTCCTAGTCTCTTCCCTACCCCTGCAAATCTTTACTCTTTTCTCTTTGCTGGTCTCCACTGCACTCCACCACACTGTTTCTGCCACCACCCTCACAAGATCAGTGCCTTGGCTGGGTACACCACTTACGTATGCCCACACCACACTCCAGTGCCGCCATCAAGCGCGCATGTAAGACCACAGATGTCCATCATTGATGCTAATGGTGGGAGGGTGGAAAAACCTGATAAAGTACATTTACACTACCAAATTTATTGTGGTCAGTATGATTTCTGTTCTCTTGAATTCACTAAGACTTGTTTTATGGCAGAACATATAGTCTATCCAAAAAATGTCCCACATTTGCTTGAGTAGAGTGTAATCTATTTTGTTGGATAGAATATTCTGTATATGTCTGTTAGGTCCATTTAGTTTGTAGTGTTTCAAATCGTCTGTTTCCTTAGACTCTGTGTCCAGATGATCTACCTTTCCTATTAAAACCCCCACCACTGTTATAAATCCAAACAGTGGTCATCATAAAGAAAAAAAGATTAATTGTTCATATCTATCTAAGGTGGTGGAAGTTAACTAATGTATTGTTAATCACTTGACAATATTAAAAAGTTAAGTCATGATGCTGTAAAAAAAAAGTTGAGTGGAAGAAGCTGCTGTCTTGTGTGAAGTTTAAGATATGCAAAACTTAGCAATGGTGATAGAAATCTTGAAATTCCCGCCATCCCTAGGTGTAGGATGAGAACTTTTAGGCTTGTTGGAAACATTTTGTATTTATGTTGGTTTCATGCGTATTTTAAAACTCATCAAAACTTGTAGGGTGAGTTAATTGGGCTTTTTACCACACTAGCCTCCTATGGCTTTCACCTGCAGCCTTAATGGTGCTAACACAGGAGGCGCTTGGAATCATGGGCACAGGGAACGAGTCCCTAATTGTTTATTAAAGGCATCTGGAGCATAAGTGCATGCGCACACAGATGCGCACTTGCCTAATCATGTGCACCTGCGCCTAGAGGTGGGCTAGAAGGGCAATATCACTCAGAGGACGGCTATGAGAGAATGAGAACGTGTGATAACAGAGAGGGGAGGCCATGCGAGAGAATGCCAAAGAGAGCCCAGAGAAACACTAAATATTCTTGCGGGGTTAGGAGCTCGGTTGCCTGCCTGCTTCTAGGACCCTGCCTGCCTTGTCCCTGGTTGTCACACTGCATTCGAAGTGGGCAGGATACAGAGGGGGATGGAGCCACCTCCTCTCTCTGGGCACCTCCTGAGCCCCCCATGCTGGCGGAGAGGACATTGCTCACAATGGGGAGGCCTTGGACAGACACGGTGCCTGCTTGGACGCAGGACTGGGAAGTGAGTGTTCCCTCACAGAACAGCAAATGGAGTCCAGAATAAGCTTCAGGCACCATGGCAGCACAGGAGGCAGCCGAAATCCAAGAGCTGGGAGGAGATCTTAAGATGCTGCCAGGGCACAGGATGTGGACAAGGTCTGGAGCTGTGGGGAAAGACCTCATTGGGAGGAGGAGATGGCCTGTGAGGAGCAGTGCACTGCCCCTGAGGCAGCAGACTTTTCAGGGAGAAAGTGGACCCCTATCTGTTATTTGGAGCTCACCCAGTAGTGACACAAAGAGAAAAAAACCTGAGACTAACAACTCCCCAGAAGGCTGAGAAACTTTGGCAGTTTGATGTTATGTCTATGGTACCTGGCAGTGGACGGGATCTTTGCACACCCCAGGAGATGAAAATCAAGGGTGGCCAGTGGGTGTGTGTGGCCTAAAGCAGCCTGGGGGTTGCCTGACTTCCCAGGGCCAGGGATGGTGACTCTGTTTGATCAGCCAGAGAGCAGTGGAGACTGTGGAGACACAGCCCAGAGTAGCATTGGCCCTGTGGACAGAGTAGAGTGGGAGCAGGGGCAAGTGTGAGAGCAGCCCAAGGCTGGCTGATGAAGGCAGCCTTTACCAGCTTCTATGCAGCTATGCAGGAGATGTGTCCCCAAATCGCCAACTTAGATAAAGAAAGAAGCAAAAGCTAGGGTCAGGAAGTTCTGAGCTGTTGTTCAAATGGAGACAAGCCTCTTAAAATCACCTGTGAGTGATACCCTACTTGCTTCTGAATGAGGGTGAGGTGCTGAGAAACCTGCCTTTGGGGCATGGACAGTGAAAATGGCTTGTGGAAACCGCAGCCAAAGCTGGGACCAGAGAGAAGCCACAAGTGGAGTTTACTAACCACGTGTCCCCAATCTGGTTACAAAGGTTTGCCCTTAGTTAAGGGTTCTGCTTGTCATATTTTGGGCCTATGAGGGCTGAGTGTTGGAGTGACAGCAGTGAGTATAAAGTGAGAGTATAAAGTATGTATGTGGCTCCAATCTCAGAGTATACTTGGGTGTGAATGTGTTGTTAATATATGACTTATGGCTGGGACGACAACCAGAAGCCAGGAAGCCTGGTGGGTCTTTGTTTGTGACCGTTGATTGCTGTGAATGTATAGAATGGCTCCCCTCTCATGAGCAGTGCCTTCAGTGGTGAGCTCCCTGGATTGCCTGCTGGTGCCATTAAGTTGTCTTTTTAGTCCTAGATTGGTGCCCAGTGAACTGGGTTTATCACATTCTGTTTGTTTTGGGTATTCATGGCTACAGTGTTCAACATTCACCAAGGGAAACTTGCAAAAGAATGATGGGTAGATTGTATGGTGTAAAACCCCTGAGGGGGTGGATTGTAGGGTCGATGAATTAATCAGGCTTTTTGTGCCACTAGATTCTGGCTATCATCTATGGCTTGATAGTGCTAATGCAGGGGGTGCTTAGGGTCATGGGCACCTGATTTTGTGTACCTGATTGTGGACACCTAGAAGAAGCATGTGGGCATGTGTAAATGTGCACACCTGAGCCTAGATGTCAGGTATAAGAGGGCTGCCTCACTCAGACAGGATGAGCTGTGTGACCACAGACAGGCAAGGACTTCAGCGAACACTAGCAAGAATCCAGGGAAAGAGCATAAAGATTCGCAGGGGCATGGGTGCTCAGGGGCTGGGTAACCTCCTGAACCTCCTGGCCACCCTGCTTTGCCTACCTGTAGGCTTGCACTACAAAATTGCAGTATAAAAAATGTGTGTTTGATTACATGTACATTATATAGTATCTTTCTAATCCAATATTCAGTGAGGTTAAGTCAATAGCTAAAAATTGCACAGGATGGGGATATTTATGCCTTTGAAACTGGAAAGTTATATAAAGCAATAATTCCTTCATCCTCTTGTTTAATATTTACAAATATTGGCCTTTTTACTTTCTCAATACATAAAACAGAAGGGAAGGGAGAAAGGAGGAAGAGAAAAAGGAATAGTTCGTCTTCTCTTCCCATCTCAGGATCTACATGTATTTCTAAAAGACCAAACATGAGATAACTTTTATTTTCTTTCCTCTAGTGGATGGCTGTATTCACAGAGCAGCTGGCCCCTGTTTGCTGGCTGAATGCCGGAACCTGAATGGTTGTGATACTGGGCATGCAAAAATCACATGTGGCTATGACCTGCCTGCAAAATGTGAGTACTACTCTTTTGAAATCAGATGGATACTCTTACCTGTTTCATACTGCAAGTGCACAATTGAAAGGAATTCATGAAAGTGTAGCTATTTAATTGTTTTATATTCAGATTTGATATGGTGATGCATTGTTTTCCAAATACGTCTCATATACGTGTATGTGTATATACATATACACATGTATACATTACATATGCACGCCCACATATATGAAATGCTTAACTATAGGTGGTTTTTAGATCTTTGATGGAGTGTCTCTAAAATGGGGGAAAAAAAGCAATATATACATTTCGGTATTTAAGTGCTGCAGAGTGACGGCTTCTGGAAATGATGCCAATTTCTTATCCCTTGTTCAGGTTTCTTGATTGTAGATGTGTTTCGAGCAAAGGAGATCAAAGTGATGTATTATGTTTTCAGCTGCCATGTAAAGGCTGATTGGCAATTACAGCCAAGGCATCTGTCACACTTTGCTTTCAGGAAAAGCCAGTGGAATGTGGTTGTCTGTCGGTGTGAAAATGTATTTGCTCTTTGAATGTGGAATAGTCAAAATTTCCATTATATTTGAATAAAGGGAAGTATTGTGTTTGATTGACCTTGTTGCACAGTCGTTTAGCCAGCTGGATGGGTTGATGTGGAATAAAATTACCAAGAGAAGCTCATTAAAGGCACAGGTTTTTTTTAAGATCACATAGTCTTCAGGACCTGTGATGGGGTTGATGGTAAAGAATGCATTGCGCCAGTAAGGTGGGCATTGATCTGCAAATTGGGACACCAATTTTTTATTCTATTCATATGCTTATGATACTGCCCAATCTTATACATATTAGGTAAAACTAAAGCTAGTAATTTTTTATCTTTGGTGGAAATTCTGGCTAAAAATGTTATAACACATTCTGAAGGATACTGATTGGGTGCTGTATTGATAATCTGTATAAGGATGGATTTCTAATGGATATTATGTAGGAATGAAGAGAACATTTATTATATTTTGTTATATTTGAGCATTTATAAAAAGTATTAAAATGTTATTTTTTCTTCATGAGTATTATAATAACTGCATTTTATTTTCCTGTTTTCTAGTGAAAGTATATCCTCTATATAATGTTTCATTTTCTTTTTAATAATGACTTATTTTCCTGTCTCTATTAGTGTTTTATTTTCTTGTGTGAAAGAGTTAAATCATGGTGCCAAACGACACCTCACTCCTACTTAGAATTTATATTGATATGAAAGTCTTTGTGTACAGTGGTGTTTAGAGTTGTTCCACCACAGATTTACAGACTTGGTGTAGTAAAGGTGGTCTCCTCTCCAGGATTATATGGCTCTGTTTACAAATATTGCTAGTTTTTAGTTTTTAACGTAAGTACTTATATGACAATGCTAATTGATATCTCCCTGACAACAAGATCATTTTTAGATTTGTATCTGTCCTAAATCAAGAGAGGAGAGCTGATGTTCGTTTACTCACTACTTGTTTCTCCTATATTTAAGACACATGTCAGACATTTTCAACCCTAGATCTGAAGCACTCAGAATTATCCAGAATCACTAAATATGACCAAATAAATGGTGGCTCTAGTGTATGGATCTACAAAATGATTATTTTGCTCAATGCACTTGCTCCTGTTGACTTCTCTCTAAATAACTTAGCTCCCCTTCAGTGTTAATCAATTGTTTTCAGGGTTTTCTAAGGCTTATAAATATTAGCCAGGCGATAAAATAACACCAGTACCTGTGCTTAGGAAATTCTGATGATTGTCCTTATCTTTGAACTAAGTTGTAGCTTTGTTTTGTATTGTGGGGCAGGCCTTTGTGAAAAAACTCTAGATATGGGAAGTTGATACTAGTCACAAAATCTGCCTGAAATGAGATGCTGAGAGTCTGACAAAATAATTAGTTTATTGCATGCTTCCCACTGGGTGTGTCTAATAAAACTTTATCCAACAGAAGAGAAATTACCAGCTAGAAAGTGCCATTTCATGAAAGTCACAAACATAGATTATTTGCAAATAGGTCTTGAATTTCTGTATATTTTAAAGACTATTGATTTATATTAAAACAGAAAGCAGTACAAAAAAATGAGAACTAGCTTACATTTATATACCATTTTATAGTATTGCCAGCAGTTTTACAATCCCTTATATTTTAAATTGTGTTTTATGAACACTGAAAGCTGTTTCTTTCTTATCAATTTGGATCACCATTTCAGAATCATTAACAATCCACAGATGTGCTTTTGTAGAGAGAAAAAGTGAAAAGGGAGCTCATTACATATTTCCCTTCCATATTTAATAATTCTGTGACAGTTTGACAGGAGAGACTAGTTACTATCTGTCCTCTGTGAGAGCAGGTTAATCATTATACGGTACTAAAGTCAGTCATCCAGCTACCAGTGATAATATCTTCATACATCAGCAATTTATTTAGAAAATACTATTTTCTAGGTTAGGGAGGAACTCAGTGATTTTGGATAGGTCTTTGTTTTTTATGCTTCTTAAATCAATGTATTCATAAATGTTCACATTTATATACATTATATTTGCAGTCTGTATTCTGTAACTCATCATGATTGGTGGAATGATAAACCTCAAATTTAGTAAATTCTTCACTACTTGGGTGGTTTGAATAATATATTTTGTTGTAGAATATTGAGTCATTCTTGACAAGAATATTTTAATACTTCCACCCTTCATTGAAGGCTACTGTTGAAGAAATGACTTTGGTATTGGCTAAGGACTTAAAATAATAATTCCTTTTGGAGATCTTTTCTTTTGCAATATTAAATTTTTTGGGTCCATATTAACATTAGATTTTTAGAAGTCTGAATATTTGAAGCATTCCTATCCATTCTACCACCACTCTGTTAGAGGCCTGCTTCATATGGAAGACGTTCATTCACCATTGTCATGGTCATAGTCTGATATCAATCTGGTCATATCTGATACAGTGTCTTCTAAATATATGCTGAATTCAAGTGAATGGATGAACTAGCGAGTGGGTTTTTTTTTTGTTTCAGAACTTTTTATATGGAAAATAAAATTTAAAAGTTTACTTCTACTTCTTTCTCTCCTACAATCCATTATATCCAATACTAGTAAGTTTATATTCCTTAGGATATTCAGAATCCTAGTTTTCCTCTATGGGGATCTGGGTGATGATTTAAATAAAAATATACAGGGATATTTAACTTTGTAACATCATATTCTGTCCTCTCCCTGGCTTTTTTTTTAAGATTTATTTATTTATTCATATAGAACTAGGGTAAAGGCCAGAGACAGATTGGGGAGCAGAACAGGCAGATTGGCGAAGTACACTGCTGAGGGGTGCAGCGGGCGGGTCAGGAGAGGTGTGCCATGCCATGTGGATCTCCACCGGGGCAGGTGGGAATCGAACTCATGCGGAAGTGGCTTAAGTGGCTTAAGCTTCTTAGTGCTGTGCTTTAACCCACTGAGCCACCAGGGAGGGCCCTCTCTCCCTGGCTTTTAAAGATGGCTTTGCAGATCTTCATTGTCTTTGCAATAACATTAACTAGAATTCTACTCATTTGGATTTCTGCCTCACCTACTTCAAATCCTTGCTAAAATTTGATATCACTTTCTCCTAACCAACTTATTTAAAATTACCAATTTATTTATAATTAATTATCTGTAGCACTTACCCTTCAAATATACTGTATCATTTACTTATTTGTTGACAGAGATTTATTTCCCTGCATCCTTTTCATTTACTACTGTATACATATAGCTTAGAGAAGTGTTTGGCTCAAAATATACTTGACTGAATATTCAAAACCTAGCTCTACTTTTTCAAAGTCCTTCAATTTTTTTTTTTCCTTAAATGCAGACATGTTAGCCTCTTCTTTTCAACAACATATTTTCAACAACAGATAATATAAAATGTTGTCTGAATTGATGACTATAGTATGGCTGTGCATGAAGTCTACATTAGGGGATATCTAGAAAATTGTCTGCGTTCCTTTCTATTTGTCTTCCAGACTCAGCTCAAATACCATTTCCACTATGAAATATTTTTTCCCTTGTCAACTCAGCTAAAAGTGACTTTTTTCCTTCAAGCTTCAGATTTTTGCATTTTAACACACTAAGGACATTTTTCACATTCTACTTTTTACTATTACATATGCAACCATACTACCTTGATAGCGGTCCCTTCTTTATAAATGGATACTAGAAAAATAGGTATCAAAAAATTAAACTTAGTTGATAATTGGTGATAAGTTGGGTATTAAAAAAAGCTATATTAATTTTTCTAAGAAATGATGGCATTAATGTTAATTACTGTGTTTTTACGTCAGGTTTTAGAATACATTGAATTCCAAAGTTCCTTGTCTAAGAAATTTACTCTCATTGTAGCTTTTCCTAAAAATGAACAAACAAAAATAAGCCACATCAATTTAAGGATTTTCAGCATAGCTCACATATCCTGTTTATTGAGAATCCTCCACTTTTAGGCTTTGGGTCTGAATAATCATCAAACATAGATGGGAAAAAAAAAAAAACCTTAAATCTGTGTACATAAAATGGTGGAATCTGTTTCTTTTATTCCTCCTATTTAATCTTTGGAAGACAGCAAAGATTAATACTAACATCCTACTCAGGTTTTCATTAATCATTTGAAAGGAAGCCCTAAGGAGAGACACCAAAGCATAATATGCTTGACTAGCATAGAGACATATGAATAAGAATCCTTATTTTATTCCCAGGTGCAATAATCAGAGGGTAGTAGATTAAAAGTTACTGTTGATAATAATTAGTACTTCTCTTGTACCCTTCATCAAGAAATCATAGTACTTTGAAACATTAGCTCATCAGTCCTTTTGAAATTCCTGAGGCAGTGACATGATAAATGATGATTCTATCAGTAAAAAGATTTTCAGGCATAGAAAGGTTGTACAGTGTGCTCTCAGTAACAAAATAAGTTCATATCCCTAGCTATGACAGGTGTTGGTCAAGCTTCTTTCTGTTTTGTAAATAAAATCATT